TGTGTGTGTGTGTGCGTGTGCGTGCGTGCTTGCGTGTTTGCGTGTGTGCGTGTGTGTGTGTGTGTGTGTGTGTGTGTGTGTGTTTTTGAATCTTACTGTGGGTGCAGCTTGTAGAGTGTGCCGTCCACGCCCACAGTAACATCCAGGTGGTCCAGTCCTCTGTTCTCACGGATCTTGTCCACAACCGCGGCCATCCCTGCTCCGCAGATCTGAGCAGCACGGCGGGACACCGTCCCACACACCTCTTTAACGATAATACTGTCGTCACAGGTGCTGTCGAGTCCCAGCTGCTGTAAAATGGCCCTGACCTGCAGCAGCGCCAGACGATCACTGCAAAGCGAGGGGGTTAACGATTAGCCAACCAAACAGGAGTCACTTGATCCGTCGGCTGCTACCTGAGCCCGAGGTGAGCTTCAGCCAGCATCTACCTGCTTCTACTCTGTCGTCCTTCACTGCACACTCACATTTACCAACCCGGAACTGCTCACGGCATGCAGGAGCCTCACGAGCACCCCTGTGAAGTCTTTATTTATCTAATAGTGAACCTACAAATAAACAAATGATTGTTGTGATTCTAGGATCAGATCCACGCCTCCACCAGCTCTGGTTTAAATCACCAGTAATCTGATAGATTTACTCTGATCTCTGAGTAGAAACAGTAAACGGAAGAAATAAAAAACAAGGTAGTGACATCATTTTACTGTTCTCTATGCTAGTGTTAGTTCCATATACAGGTGTGAAGTTTGAATGTGTGAACATGTGATGAATGCTGCTGTTTCTACTGTGTAGCATCTCCTTTTCCCACGGCCACAAAATACTGAGCTCTACTGAAATTACTGTTTTTTCACTTTGTTTACTGACTGGTTTCCTCTGGGTGATAATAAACCAAATGAAATTCAATAAATTAATTTCATTCACTCAAATTAAATGCAATACTTGTTTTCAGTGTGGATTGGACCACCTTTAGTTATCTACTGGACATTTAATGTCCATAGGCTTGAATTATAAGGTTTTGTTTCCAAATGGGAGGTTCCCACCACCGCCATTTTGACAGTGTCACTAGTCCCGTCACACCCAGACTATCCAAACATGGGGAAAGAGGTGGAGCTGAAGGTGGGGCTGTTACGGCTGGAACAAATGAACCAGTGTAGCTACTAGCTAACTTAGCTAACCCAAGAAGCTAAGAAGGGCTCTGGGGACAGGGGCCATGCTGGTTGGTGGAGATCTAATATGGACTGTGAATGTTTTTTTGTTTTTTTTTTTGTGTGTGTCCTGTCTGGCTGTGAAGCAAACAGAATTGATGTCTGAATGCTGGTGACAAGCCTTACAGATTTACTCTCAGGTGGAGCATCAAAGCGTCTGCTTTTAATGTCACGCCTGATACTTAAAACTTTATTGTTTTTGATAGGGATGCACCGATGGATCGGCATTTGATCGTAATCGGCCGATAGCGCCCCTATCGGTTTTGATCGGAATTTTCAAAATAGATCAAAGCAAACCGATCAGGTAGGGTTGTCACGGTAACCAGTGTAGCGCTAAACCCCGGTAAAAAAAAAGGAAAAAAAAAGTTGACAATAATAACCGTCTTGTTTTTAAAAAAACTATATTATCTTGGTGGGTTTACCGTGGCTGCGGTGTAGGCGCGGTGACCCTTACCAGCCACCGTATCATCTGCTGAAGTTGCCGGCGGCACATACACGCTTTGTTTACAACAAAACTTTCTTGAAGCTAAAGCTGAAATAATGGTCAAAGGAGGAGACGGCAGCGCTCAGGACATTTATTATCCCTCAAAGAAGACAAAGTCGGAAGGACAGGCATATTTTAGATATTTTAAGAATGCCGAGGGAGTTTATAGAAGACGGGCGGCTATCCTGTTTGCAGCACGTGCAGAAAAAGTGTCTGTGAACGGCAGCAACGCTTCTTATCTCATGACACATCTGCGTGACCATCACCCACAACTCTACAGTCAACGCAAGGCAAGCTAACGTTAGCGTTTTAGCTAAAATGCGTGATCCGAGGATTTGGGTTGAGGGAGAATGCAACGAGTGGCTATATAAAGCAGCCGCAGCGCCGCTACCTGCATATAAACCGTGTCGCGGACACCCCCATGTTGAAATGACGCTATGCATTACGGGGCTCCCAGGGGCAGATAAGAGTTGGTCTCTCTCCGAGAATAATTATGAATTTAACAACGATTACTGCCTGATGACATTTTCCCACATCTGCAAAGCTCACTGGAAGGACACAAACCGAGGACGATATTTTCCTGATATAGGGTTTATTACTCAAGTAAGGGTAAAAAAGTATCTGATTAGAAGGCTACTTGAGTACTGAGTATCATCTGATCTAATATTTTTAAATGATGACATCAAACAGACATAAAATAAGAAGTTATGGGCAAATATTGGTATTTTAAAGACTAAAGGGGAAAAATGTAAACAAATAAACAACATAATTACAAAATAACACATTTTAGGCAAAATTTAGACACAAACTGAGGACAATATTTCCTGACATACAGGGTTTATTTAATTGTGTGAAAATGTAGCACGTAAAAAAAAAATTCCGCGATAATACCGAAAACCGTGATAATTTTGGTCACAATAACCGTGAGGTTAAATTTTCACACCGTGACAACCCTAATACAGACCATTTTAGATTAGGTTACATTTCCTTTATTCCCAGATTATGTAGTTTGTAGCACTCATTATAATGTTGTAGAAAATTTCTGGCCAATCCACGTGATCGGTATCGGTGATCGGTATCGGTGATCAGCATTCTTTGATATCGGTATCGGTGATCGGCAGCAAGAAACCTGATCGGTGCATCCCTAGTTTTTGAATGCTTTGTAATTCCGACCAGACACGGAGTCAGAGGTGAAAGAGAACGGAAGAGACAACAGATGGGGTGGGGGGGGGTCCACAAACATAAGCAATAATGAACAAGAGTCTGCTTATAGACCTGCAGAGAGAAGAAAAAAGCAAAAAAAAAAAAAAAGGGACACAACAACAATGCAACAAGATCTAGCTATCACTGCGTCAACCTGATGAAGAAATATAAAATCAACATTGTTTAACTGAACAATCACACGATAATTAATCATAGTGCATTTAGTGCCAACCACAGCCTTAAGACAAGTGTTGAACGTGCCCAAGTCCATACTTATGAGAGCACCATGTGAGCACCTGTGTGTGTACACGCACTTGTTTATGTAAGGTTTCTCTATAAAAGCATCCAATAGAGAGTGTGAGGGGCCACAGATCTGCCCCCTAAAGATGTGCAGGAGACGGAGGGAGCTCCAAGTCCCAGAGATCCAGGAGTTGCCCCAGAACACAGGAACTCCAGGGAGACTGTGACCAGAAAAGCCCCCACCCCCCTCAAGAGGCACAGAGGATCACCCCGGGGGGCCACAGCCAGCAGCCGGCAGAGTTCCGGGAGATATCGGCGGCAAGCCCACAGGCCCGCCCGCAGCCTCCCACCCCCTAGCCAGCCGAGACCGGGACCTGATGACCCGGGACCCAGGGGCAACCACCCCCACCGGGGACCCAGCAGAGCCCAGGGACCCAGACCCCACCAGGCAGCCACCGGGATTGGTCACGCAGATGCCAAAAATCTTAAACTTCCTGACCCGGGAGCCACGACCCAGGCAGACCAAGGCACCGCACTCCACACCAGGTGCGGCAGGGAGAGGGGAGACGAAGAACTATATCACCAAAAGAAGTCCCAGGAGAAGGGAGGAGTCAAAGGCCCCACCTGACATACACAGATGGACTGTGACTGTTAAATTACAAGCAGAACCTCAGACTGCTGCGATTGTAGCCAGGCTCCATGCCCTTGTACTTCAGCTTATGCTCTGTGCTCGGAGATCAGCTAAACATTTGCTACATGCTAACCCAAAGCTAACAGAGTTTTTCCAGGCCTTTTTAGCAAGAAAAACACGGTAGATAAACTCCAAAGTGAAGTCACCTCCAGCCTGCTTAGTAACAAAATCATAACTAGGTAAGCTGACCCAGGATATCGGGCTTCACTGGTCCACCATAGTCAAAGATCCACAAGTCCGCCATTGTCGGCACGGAGCCGGGAGCCGAATTACCAAGCGGTGTTATGGTAAACAAGAAAAATGTTGAGTGACTTAAAAGTGAAGCAGCATCAACAAAAAGTGCTGCCATGTTGCTGTGGTCTACCTCAGAGATCCACTAGTGACCAGCACGACTACAGCCTTGCATCTGCCCGTCCTGGCTGCCCTGGGAAACAGGAACAGCCAGCCACCTGCTCCCGGTCTCCTGTCATCATGTCAGAAAAATAAACAAAATGGTAACTTGCTGAATGATGGACTCACTGTTTCCACTATCCTCTTGAAGGATTAAGGATCCAGACGGCACTACTGACAGAAGCATTCTGGGTCTGCAAGGCGCCTCTCTTGGCGAAGATTGGCATAAACTCCTTGCGTGGCCCTTCTTTGCAGCCACCGTACCCATACTTTCCTACCAGTGGCGGAAGTAGAAGCAATTCCTCTCGCTCTGTCTCTATTTATATTATTTTTCTGACATGCATGTCATGTGGGCGGAGAATGCGCATTGATTGGCCACTAGAATATTTCAGCTCAGCCAGCAGCTTGGGTAGCACGCACATGGTGAGCAATGAAGAAGAAGTTTCAGAGACAGAGGATCTTTCAGTGGCCAAGGACAGTGATGATGATCCAGACTGCCCATTTTCTGACGAGGAGAAAGATTCTGAAGAGGAGTCTCCTGCAATTGCTACATCAAATCAAAACCAAGGAATGCAGCCATCATCATCTACAGAGGGGTGATGGACATCTTATAATGGTCAAATGAAATGGTCAACATCACTACCGAAGTCAAGGCAGACTGTCATCTTATAACCCAATCCAGTCAGCATTTCATCTCTTCATATCCTGTCAAATAGAGAAGTTGATTCTGGACATGACTAACTTGGAGGGGAGGCGTGTATTTCAAGAGAAAGGAAAGCCACTGGATCAGACTGACTTGCATGCTTATATTGGACTTCTGGTATTAGCTGCAGAATACACGTCAAAGGGAGAAGCAACTGCAAGTCAATGTAAAGAAGAGAACGGAAGACCGATCTTTCAAGCAACAATGTCTCTTGAGACATTTCACAAGATATCTCGTGTGATCCGATGATTTGACAACCGTGAAACCATGAAACCATGAAAGAGACAAACTTGCTGCAGTCAGAGATGCATGGGATAAATGGCTGGAAGTTCTACCTTTGTTGTACAACCCTGGTCCCCAGATCACTGTAGATGAGCGCCTTGTTCCTTTCAGGGGTCGCTGTCCTTTCTGACGATATATGCCCAACAAGCCGGCCAAGTATGGCATCAAAGTATGGGCAGATGAGATGCTAAATCTAGCTATGCATGGTACATGCAGATGTACACCAGAAAGCTACGTGGAGGGGCATCTGAGAACACTCGGGGTGCGTGTGGTGCTGCATTTGAGTGAAGGGCTGCAAGGGCATAACATCACCTGTGGCAACTTCTTCACATCCTACTGGCTTGGAGATGAACTTCAAAAGAGAAAGCTCACTATGTTGGGAACAACCAGGAGAAATAAGCCAGAACTTCCCATTGAAAGTCTGAAGATGCAGGGAAGACCTCTGCATTCCTCCATGTTTTCAGTGAGAAAGCAACAGTTGTTTCATACTGCTCAAAGAAAAACAAAAATGTTCTTGTCATGAGCACAATGCACACAGATGCATCTCTGAGCACAAGATAAGACAACACAACCACAAATGATCCTGGACTACAACTCCACCAAAGGAGGAGACAATCTTGATAAAGTCGCAGCAACATACTTCTGCCAGTGCAAGACAGCTTGTTAGTCCTCTGTGACTTCCTACAACATTGTGGATGTGGAAGCTTACAATGCCTTTGTCCTGTGGACTGAAACCAACCAACAGTGGAAATTGTACAGATGTTGGCTTTTCCTAGAAGAACTGGGCATAAGTCTTGTGACCCCCGAGATCTAAAGGCGAGCCAGACAGCTCGATCCCCATCAGCAGCAGCTGTCATTGAAAAGGTCAAGTTTGCACCATCCAACCAATCCATTTCATCTGTAGGTGTTTGGTGATCTGACTGATCCATGGGAGAACTTACTCACCTCTCTATTTGTGACAGGAACTTGGTCTCAAAGATGCCTCTGGTTTTAAGTGTCTCTGAGATTTGTCCCCGGAACAGGAAACCCCGCTTGGTCAGGTCAATCAGAATCTGCCGCACAATCTCACCCAGGTACATTCCACTGCACATCTTCTCATATCTAAGGTGCAAGAGAGATTAAACAGGGTTTAGTTAGTGAAAAAGCTGCTGGCGAATATAGTTATTTCTACTGTTCTGAATGGATGGTAAAGGCACACTAGTTTGGGCTTGCTTTTAGCCACCTCCAGTGTCCGTTTAGTAGAACAAAAACAAAAATCATCTTGCTGTGTATTTCTGGTTTTAACACTTAGAAGTTTTCACCTAAAAATACAAAAACTAAAGATCTTGCTTCTCCTCCTGCTCCTCATGGCGGTTTTCCTGCAAACTGAGACCAGTTTGTTAGAGAGGCGTAAATTACAGCCAGTCTGGTCAAATCTTGAAAATGTTATTTTTGTGTTTGTAAATGTTGATCAGCAGTGAAAAGGCTCGATGCTTATCGGTTGTGCTAATCCAGAGGAAATTTCTAAATTTCTAAAACTTCCATTTATCTTGGACATAACTTAGGCTTTTGTTTGCGATCAAAGCCGTGCTCATTACATTTTTTTTAACAATCTGTCCACGGCGTCACGAGATCCTTTGCTGACTATCAAGGAGACATTATAACAAGTTATTTGACTTCTTTTAACAAAAATACTTTGTCAAAGGCTTCCTGACCTTTGTTTGCCCTCATTGAGTGAGTTTTCATCCACAGCCTGGTCGTACTTCGTTCTGATGTCGTCAAGACAACCGTTATCTCCAAATGCCCCCCACTCCATATTGACACACATACGGCCCTCATTTCCTGGTACTATCTCAATGTTCCTCAACTCCTCCATGTAGCAAGCATTACTCCCCGTGCCTGTGAACACATACAACAGTTGATTATTTACGTATATACATACATGTGTACAGTACAGGCCAAAAGTTCTGACACACCTTCTCATTCAGTGTGTTGTCTTTATGTTCATGACCATTTAAATTGGTCGAAACTACGAATGAACACATGTGGTGTTGTCTACTCAACCAGGAAAGGTGAAATAACTGAACATGTAGTCCTTCACGACTACTACTGGAAAACCATTTCTGGTGACAACCTCTTGAAGCTCATCACGAGCATGCCAAGAGTGTGCAAAGCGGTAATCAGAGCAAAGGGTGGCTTTTTTGAATAAAATAGAAAATAAAACATTTTATCAGTATTTTCACCTTTTTATAACAAAATTGTTGGAACCCTTCTAGCAATGAAAGAAAAACACAATGGTTACGGAAATAACATCAATCTGACAAAAGTAATAATAATGATGGTAAATGATAGTACTCATAACTTCATATTTTGTTGCACAAACTTTTGAGACAATCACTGCAATCCGACGACTCCTGTAACTGTCGATGAGACTTCTGCACCTTTCGGCAGGTATTTTGGCCCACTCATAATGAGAAAACTGCTCCAGTTGTCTCGGGTTTGAAGGGCACCTTTTCCACACAGCATGTTTCAGCTCCATCCAAAGATGCTCAATGGGATTGAGGTCAGGGGTCAAAGGCCACTTTAGAATAGTCCAATGGGTTTCTCTAAGGGTTTCTATAAGTTTTGGGTCTTGTTGCAAAACCTGAGACTGAGACCAAATGTTCTGACACTGGCCAGCACATTTCTCTTGGTAGTCTTGAGATTTCATTATACCAGATGCAGCAAAGCAGCCCCAGAACATAGCAGAGCCTCCTCCTTGTTGCATAGTGGGGACAGTGTTCTTTTCTTGATAGGCTTCAATTTTCATTTATGAATAAGAAAAGTGCAGAACACCTTCTCCGGGTCAGGGATGAGGTCCTGCCTCAAGTGGAGGAGTATAGGTATCTCAGGGTCTTGTTCACGAGTGAGGGAAAGGTGGAGCGAAAGATCGATTGATGGATTGGTGCCGCATCTGCAGTGATGCGGGTGTTGTACCGGTCTGTTATGGTGAAGAGAGAGCTGAGTCAGAAGGCGAAGCTCTCGATTTACTGGTCGATCTACGATCCTACCCTCACCTATGGTCACGAGCTTTGGGTAGTGACCGAAAGAATGAGAACACGGATACAAGCGGCCGAAATGAGTTTTCTCGGCAGGGTGGCTGGGCTCTCCCTCTCCATTTATTTTCTTGTAGATGGTCGTATTTATCCTTTACCTTTTACATGCTTGTCTATAATTTTCTTTCTAATCTCCTGAGACAACTCTTTTCTTTGCGTCCTCTGTTCCATGTTGAGTTAGGTACATACCATTTCACCAAACAACACAAGCTGTTTGTACAAAACAATGCCTTCAAGATGCTGAAGAGGCATCTGGGAGCCCTATATTGTTTATAAGTGGTCAGACTGTGGCGGTAATGTTGCACAATCCTGCCATTTTCACTAAGGATTAGGCATGAAGGGGGTATGGGGGCAGTCTCTGCATGATTGTAGACTTCAGAAGAAACAGGGTGGAGTAAAACACCGTTTCCATCATGGGAGAAGAAGTGGAGGTGGTTGAAGAATACAAATACCTTGGAGTTCACCTGGACAACAGACTGGACTGGAGAAAGAACAGCGAAGCCGTTTACAAGAAGGGACACAGCAGACTGCACTTCTTGAGGACGCTTAGGTCCTTCAAAGCAAGATGCTGCAGATCTTCTACAAGTCTGTTGTTGAGAGTGTAATCTCTTCAGCCATCGTCTGTTGGGGTAGCAGCATCAGAAGCAGGGACCTGAAAAGGCTCAACAGCCTAATAACAAAGGCTGGTTCTGTTCTGGGGACGACTGTGGAACCGCTGGAGGAGATAATGCAAAGAAGGATTCTCCAGAGAATCAAGAACATGATGGACAACCCTGAGCATTCTCTTCACAAGACTGTCCGACAACGGAAGAGTGTCTTCAGTCAGAGGCTTCTTCAGTTTGGCTGCAACACTGACCACTACTGGAGATCCTTCCTGCCAACAGCCATTGTAATATACAACAACTCTTTGATGACTTGATTATTATTATTATTCTGAGCTACTACAGCAATCAGTTTCCCTCTGGGATTAATAAAGTCTTTTTGAATTGAATTAAATCATCGTGAACTTCCATTTGTCTTGGACATAACTTAGGCTTTTGTTTGCGATCAAAGCCGTGCTCATTACATTTTTTTAACAAGCCGCTCCTAAAGGTGTCGGACCTCCACAGGCCCTGAGCAGCTTCTAGTGATCTGAGCTCTAACGGAGAAAAGCTCCAGGAGTGCTGTATTGCTCCAGATTATCATTTCAGCTGATTCTTTTTACAAAAGCAACTGGCAGCGTTTACTTTGATTTTCAATATAGTTGCCGGCCGGAGCTCGGCAATAACTTCCCAGGTGATCATTACGCCTCCCTCTGTTGCACCAAGGCATAAGCGCTGTTTAGAAGACAGACAATTACTGGAATATTACTACCAAGCGAGGCGGAACGAATGCTGCTAAACTTGATGATTGCCATGCCAGCATGGCACGTTTATAAGACACACCCTCCTGGTCATATTGCACTGATTTGCCGCCACGGTGAGTCTTGTAAAAAGGACTAGTGACTACCTGGAGCCCAGCATTTTGGAGACAAACAACCTACTTCACTGAGCAGCACATTGAATTGCCTCTGTGTATGAACTGTACTTTATAATTTGCCTATATAAAGGCCCGCTAACTGATTACAAAAGTGTAGACACCTGTGAGGCTGATTAGTGGACATGCCGTAAATTAACATGTTCCTGTGGTTATAGTTTTCTTTATTTTACATCTGTCTTTTCTAGGGGTACCATCATTTTTGTCCAGGCCTGTTCGATGACTTTATTGTTTTAAATGATTCTGTTGAAGCGGGGCTGTAAAGCAGTGCCTGACTTTATTGGTTAAATTTTATAGAATTTATATTTACTATTACTTTTGTCAAGTTATTTCTGTGACCGTGGTGTTTTTCTTTCATTGACTGAAGGGTTCCAACAATTTTGTCCATGTATGCACGCACACACACACAAACGAGAGAGAGAGTGAGAGAGTGAGAGAGTGAGTGAGAGAGAGAGAGAGAAAATATTGTTCACCTGCAATCAGTCCAACTTCACATGTGGGTTCCTCGTAGGCACAAGTCATCATGGTTCCCACTGTGTCATTCACTATGGCGACCACATCCAGTTCAAATTCCTGCCATACAAACAGCGTCGGTCACACGGTAAAGAACACACTAGTGTTACCAAAAGACCTGAGCTGAAGTCTGAAGTTTGCTAAATAAATGTAAAAATGGATTTTTGATCATATTTCATTCCTACTGGAGTTTCCGTGGTGATTTTTCCTGCTGATTCTCTTTAGTTGGTTGGATTTTGTCAAAACTTTCAGGTAATTTTTGTTTGTTACTTCAAATGCAGGCTTTCCTTTCCTACAACACGTCTTCACGTCTTCATGCTTTGCCAGCCCAGGGTGCTACTACTGCAGGATGCTGTTTAGCCTAAACACTTCATTCCCTTACTGGGGCATGTTGAGCAGTTGGATGGAGGAGGTCGAGTATGTCCTTTATCAATCAGCAACATTGTTTATTTGGTTATTTTAAAGATAAGAAATGGACAAAAAAAACAAACACGATAATACGAGGATTACATGTAGAATAACCAAAAGGTGTAGGCTGAAGACTATTTTTTATGCCTACCCTAATTACAAAATCTATTTTATACTTAGAATGATAGAAAAAATGACTTTAAAATATTTTTATTGTAATAATAATAATTATGAACGACAACAAAAATAAATCTGCAAAAAAGTAAAAAACAATTAAAATACATTAAAAATACAAAAATTTACTAAAAAATGAAAATAAAATTCTAAAACGTTTTTGATTTTTTTAAAGAATGAAACAAAAACACCCTGATGTGGATCTTTTGCTATAACTTTAGTTTTTAATCTGACCAGCACAGACAATAGCTTTAACCATACCATACTATACCATACCACACCATACTATACCATACCATACCACACCATACTATACCATACCATACCACACCATACTATACCATACCACACCATACTATACCACACCATACCACACCATACTATACCATACCATACCACACCATACTTTACCATACCATACCACACCATATTATACCAGACCACACCATACCATACTATACCATTCCACACCATACCATACCATACTATACCATACTACACCATACCACACCATACTATACTATACCATACTACGCCATACCATACTATACCATACCACACCATACTATAGTATACCATTCCACACCATACTATACCATACCATACCACACCATACTATACTATACCATTCCACACCATACTATACTATACCATTCCACACCATACTATACCATACCATACCACACCATACTATACTATACCATACCACACCATACTATACTATACCATTCCACACCATACTATACTATACCATTCCACACCATACTATACCATACCACACCATACTATACTATACCATACCACACCATACTATACTATACCATACCACACCATACTATACTATACCATACCACACCATACTATACTATACCATTCCACACCATACTATACTATACCATTCCACACCATACTATACCATACCATACTATACCATACCATACCACACCATACTATACCATTCCACACCATACTATACCATACCACACCATACTATACTATACCATACCACACCATACTATACTATACCATTCCACACCATACTATACCATACCATACCACACCATACTATACCATACCACACCATACTATACCATACCATACCACACCATACTATACCATACCATACCACACCATACTATACCATACCATACCACACCATACTATACCATACCACACCATACTATACCACACCACACCATACCACACCATACTATACCATACCATACCACACCATACTTTACCATACCATACCACACCATACTATACCAGACCACACCATACCATACCATACTATACCATACCATTCCACACCATACCATACCATACTATACCATACTACACCATACCACACCATACTATACTATACCATACTACACCACACCATACTATACCATACCACACCATACTATACTATACCATTCCACACCATACTATACTATACCATACCACACCACACCATACTATACCATACCACACCACACTATACTATACCATACCATACTACACCATACTATACCATACCACACCATACTATACCATACCACACTATACTATACCATACTATACCACACTTTACTATACCATACCACACCACACCATACTATACCATACCACACCATACTATACCATACCACACCATACCATACCATACCACACCATACTATACCATACCACACCACACCATACTATACCATTCCACACCACACCATACTATACCATACCACACCATACCATACTATACCATACCACACCACACTATACTATACCATACCACACCACACTATACTATACCATACCATACCACACTATACCATACCATACCATACCACACTATACCATACCAAACCATACCATACTATACCATACCACACTACACTATACTATACCATACCATACCACACTATACCATACCACACCATACTATACCATACCACACCATACTATACCATACCATACCACACTATACTATACCATATCACACCATACCATACCACACCATACTTTAGCATACCACACTACACTATACTATACCATACCATACCACACTATACCATACCAAACCACACTATACCATACCACACCATACTATACCATACCACACCATACTATACCATACCACACCATACTATACCATACCATACCACACTATACTATACCATATCACACCATACCATACCACACCATACTTTAGCATACCACACCATACCATACCATACCACACCACACCACACCACACCATACCACACAACACCATACCATACCATATTGTAACGACTGTAAGTGGATGTAGTTGATGTAAACCTCAGACTTCCACATATTTGCTGTTGGATGTCAGCTGCCATGCATTTTGTTAACATCCAGTTTGTTGTTAGAATGATGTCAGCTAGTTATACCTGAAGCAGTTTTAGATGTTCATCAGGCAGACTCACACCTCAGTAGGTGCTTCCAGACTGCAGGAGACCCCTTTATACTGTCCTCAGGGTGGTGTGTCCTTTTTTATTTCCGTACTAGTAGTTCTGTGACCTTTCACGGTTTTTATCAACTAGTTTTTTTACTGGCTGTTTCAGCCGTCACTCAGAACTTGTGCTGGGCATCTTATGTCAAAAACATAATTATAGTTAAAAATTACTTTGTCCAAAAAGTTATTGAGTTAGTAATTCAGTCACTACATTGCGGAAGTTATTAGTAACCTACCAAAGTAACTGTGACGTTACTTTTTACGTTCTATAGCTATAGTGCTAAAGTTGTTCTAACTGAAGGATTCTGACCATCTGGAATGTTCTCGTGAATATCTGGAATGATCATTTCTACCAGGATCAACAGGATTACAGGTCTCTGGAACACCTTTCCAGTCTGACTAATAAATGTTAATAAGGTCACCGTAGGTTTGTAGGGATTTCTCAAACTTAAAGTGCTTTTGTTGTTATGATATCCTTAATTACCGTTTCTATAGTAACAACAAAGCTGTTGGTGTCTTCATTTGCAGTTTTAACTAATAAGAATACAATTAGTACAAGTCTAGGATAAATTGAATTATTATTATATAATTCCATTTTTGGTTATTTTTTTAAACACAGGAAAGGTTTCTCTTTACCTTGCTAACGTTTCGTTTGCCGACTGCAAAACATCCTCAGAGCTGAGGCTGATGGTGGCATCACTTCCTACTCCGTTTATACGCGGGCAGCAGAGGACGTTGTCGCCCTCTGCTGCCCGCTCTCCCCTCTCCGACGATGCAGTCCCATGCGTGGTCCAACGTGTAAACCCCATTGTCTCTGTTCATGGTCCCACATCCACGTCTCCTTATCTTGATTGCTTCCTTTATCCATCTTTTGTATTTTTGTTTTTCGGTGTTTATGATCCTTGTGTTGTCCCAGTCCATTATATGGTTTTCTCTTGTGCAGTGATCTGTTACGACTGACTTCTTTATTGTGCTTTCTGCTTCTTCTTTTGCTGCTCTTGTGTGTTTTCGACTTGCCTCTTTCTCGCACTCCTTTCTATGTTCTATTGTTCGTGTGTTGAGTTGGCGTCCGGGTTCTCCTATGTATGTTTTATGGCAGAGTTTAAATGGGATTTCGTAAATGACTCCACATTTAAGTCCAGCTGGTATCTTGTCTTTTGGGTGCACTAGTCTGTTGTGTATGGTTTTGTTGGTGTGTTTATGTTGTGTTTTTTCATTGTTGCTCTTATATTTTCTGTAATGCCTCTGATGTATGGTAGGGTTATCACTGGTTTTGGTTCTCGTCTTTCTGGGTTTCTGGTTCTTTGCTTTGGTTGTTCTTTTCCTTCTGTTGTTGTTTGTTGTTTTCCTTTGTTTATTGCCCATGTCAGGTATCCGCAGGTCTTTAAAGCGTGTTGTATGTGTTTGTCCTCTTGTTTACGGTCTCTTTCTTCTGTTACCATGTTTGCTCGGTGATATAATGTTCTGATTACTGACATTTTGTGTATGGTGGGGTGTTCTGATGTCCATAATAAATATTGGTCTGTGTGTGTTGGTTTCCTGTATGTGTTTATGTTTAGGGTCCCGTCGGTTATTTTCATGTCCATTAATGCTATGCTGCCTTCTGTTTCTGACTCATATGTGAACTTTATGCTGCCTGTGTTGTCAATGTTATTCAAGTGTTGTGTTTCTGTTTGACCTGTTGGTATGATTTCCAGTATGTCGTCTACGTAAGTTTGCAGCCGCGATCGAAACCGTCAACAGCAAGGTAAAAAAGAAACCTTTTCTGTGTTTTAAAAAAGAACCAAAACTGAATTAGAAATCAGACACAGTAAGAACATACCAAAGATATTATTATATAAAGTAGGAATTTACAGAGAGGTCCGATTGTTGATTAAATGTTAAAACAGCTTGCCTTAGTCTTGGTATCTTCTTGCCTGTACTGCTTTGACTCGTCTCCTCGTTTATAAGAAGAGCTCCTCATCTTTTACAGATTTGCCCCACCAACATTTACATACCATCATCTTTGTCCCCGGCATTTTGCACGTGCCACCCCCTCCCTGCCTTCACAGCGATGAGTGTGTGTGCAGCATTGTGCACACACACTCATCGCTGATCTGCAAACAAACACCTTGATGTGTGTTCACATGTGCTGTTCGTGACACCGGCTCAGGTGGGATGGCGGGTTCTGGTAAATCTGGTGTCACTCACAGAGCCGTTTTGTGCACGCATCACTGACAACCGCTCTGCCTCATCCAACCGCATTATAGTAACAGAGTAAGGCTCCGCGGTACATGCCCAGTAAAGGTAACGGCAATGCAATGAAGAAAAAGGATTAAGTAGATTACGCCGTCACCTAAATAACACTGTTAGTAACTTAAACGCCGTTACTCCCAACATCTGATTAAACAGGAAGTCAAACTAAAACCATGACAGGCTCTCTCTGCTGCCTTTAACAGATAAAAATAAGAGGACAGCTCCACGTCCAAGAGGAAAGGGCAGGGGGACCATCCTAAGGTGATGGAGGACAGTACAGGTCAGTGATGTAGGGCGATGTGATGGTAAAGGAGTCAGGATGGCTCCTATCTGAATGTATTCAGCATCAAGTTTTAGTCCAGGGCCCTCATTCTACAAACCCTCGTAGAAACTGTCCTACCTTACAGTCCTGGCCCTCGTACGCATGTTCCTCCATGTTCCAGTGATGGTAAATCCCACCTGTGCTACCCAGGTGCTCATGTCTGTTCTCAGTCATTTACATACAGGAACGCCCTCAATTAACCATATTTGGTCACGCTACGTCCTCGACACGTGAGGGCATTCCCTTGGTTCTTCCCAAAAAACGAAACAAAGCAAACAAAAAAAAATACAAGAAAACTTTGACAGCGAGATTGAGACACTGGCTGCCGGAGTACAAATGAAGACAGAGCAGAGGTTCCTCCATCCATCCATCCATCCATCCATCCATCCATCCATCCCTCCATCCATCCATCCATTTCTTCCACTTATCCAGAGTCAGGTTGCAGGGCTGTCCAGGAGGCATCCTGACCAGATGCTCGAGCCACCTCAACTGGCTCCTCTCCGTGTGGAGCAGCAGATCTACTCCGAGCCCCTCCCGGATGACTGAGCTTGCCACCCTTTCTCCAAAGAAAAGCCCAACCAACCTGCGAAGAAAACTCATTTCTTTTATCCGTGATCTCGTTCTTTCAGTCACTACCCAAAGCTCATGACCATAGGTGAGGGTAGGAACGTAGATCCACCGGTAAATCGAGAGCTTCGCCTTCTGACTCAGCTCTCTCTTCACCACGACAGACCGGTACAACGCCCGCATCACTGCAGACGCAAAGAGGAGAGGTTCCTGTCAGGAATGCATAAAAACGGTTCCACATTAAATAGAATCTGATAAATCATAGAGTAACGGGTTGTCGTTTACATCTAAGGAGCCGTTCTGTTTGGAGTTAGTTTTATTCAGAAATGTTGTCTGAGAGAGCAGCCTCAGCTGTTAAGTCTGGTTACCATGACAACGCGTATGATCAGGGAGCAGAGGAGGTTCTGGGCTGGACTGGAGTCGGATTCGTGCGGTTTGTCTGTCGCTCCACCGAGAGTCCCAGACCACAGCAGAGCTCCAGAAGGATCTCCTTCAGGAATCCAGTCAGCGCGCGCTCACCGAGGACGCGTTCCCTCCAGAGAGCACGCTCCGCCACGTTCTCCAATATTAATGTAAAGATAGCGCCTCCCAAGATAAACATCCAGAGGCGCTTCACGAGGACAAAAAAATCTCATAAATTATAATAAAATTATTAATTAAACATGATTAAAGATATCATGAAGAATGGGAAGAGTTAAATAAAACAGAAGGAGCCATTCGACCACGTCAGATTCCTGTTAGTCACACGTGTCTTTTACAGGTTTAGCACCAAGGAAGCCACTGAAGTCATTATTTATTAATCATAATTAGTGGATGACTGAGACCTTCGGTACTGCTGTTCCCCGTTCTACCACTAGATGCTGTCCATGTGCATGGTCTGAGGGTTATAGAGGAACATTTCACTCACAACACATCATGCATGACATTCCCTAACCCTAACCCACAGACCTGTGCTGAAGTACAGTAGATCAGAGGGCCCTGGTGTCTGAAGCTCCTCCTGAATGGGTGTTGTCTCTCAAACTCACCAGAGACCCAGAACACACACAGCTCCAAATCCACCACCCTTCCTCTAGTGATGCTGATGATGTCATCAGCATCAGGCTGAGTGTTCCGGCTAGGTTAACGCAAACACCTTGAATGAAAGCCTCTGGTTTAGAGCAGAAGTGAGATGTTGACACATCCCGTCTTAAACTGACTCTGAGCACAAGTCAGTTCATTCTCACTCCTGAACAGAGTGGCCAGCATGCTTTTCCACAGAGCTGGGATGTGGAGGAACCCATCGTTTTCATCTATGCATGCTTTTATCAGAGTTACACCACGCCGCTGCAGTCCACACCTGCTCTACCTTTACACAGCATTCATTCCTTCATACTTACCGGCTCTTCAATCTGTGGGAGGGAAATCAGTTCACGCGCAGGAAATGGTCAGCGACATACGGACGTTCATTCGGCTACAACGGTTCTAGGTTTTTATTCAGTAATGACAGTGTCTCATAGATCATTTGTATTTCATCAGCATACACTTAAACATGACGCAGATGAACGCGGGTTTCATCAGCAGCAGAGAAAATGTGTGTGTTGTTGGCCAACAAGGAAAAGTCACGGTTACCTCTTTTCTCTTGATGGCCTCACGTAGGAGCTCCACCACATCTTCTCCCTCACACTCTGTGGCCTTGAAGCCTTTTGTCCAGGTAACCAGGATTCCCTGTGGAGAACACAGGGCTGAGCAGAAGACTGGTAGAAATCAGCTAAAAACCAGATGACTTTCTTCATATCCATTAAGTTACTTAAGGGCCTGTAGGATCATCTAAGGTGACATTAGAGACATGTTCATGCATCTGATGCGACTGAAGCAAAAACAAAAGATTATGTCTTGTAACACAGCAGCGAACCCAACCCTCAGGTTATTTCAGTACTTCCAATCAAAAGGTGTGTTAGATTAGTTCATCACACACAGACTGATATATTTAAAGTTTATTTCTTTAATGATGATGACAGACAACCGGTGAAAATCCTGAATTCAGTAACTGAGAACATTAGAATATCAGTCAGAACCAGTGTGAACAAAGGAGCTTCAGAAACCTGGGCCAACAGAAAAGAGTGTTCAGCACTCAGTACTTAGTTAAAGTTAAAGTTAAAGTCCCATTAGTTGTCACACACACTGGTGTGTGTGCGAAATTTGTTCTCCGCATTTGACCCATCCCGTGGGGGAGCGGTGAGCTGCAGACACAGCCGCGCTCGGGAACCATTTGGTGGTGTAACCCCCCAATCCAACCCCTTAATGCTGAGTGTCAAGCAGGGAGGCGTTGGGTCCCATTTTCTCAAAGTCTTTGGTATGACCCGACCAGGAATCGAACCCTGATCTCCCAGTCTCAGGGCGGACACTCTACCACTAGGCCACTGAGCTGGTTGGGGCTCCTTCGGCCTGGATTACTGCAGCAACGTGGCCTGCCGCTGAGTCCATCTGTCTGTGGCACTGCGCAGGTGTTACCAGGACCCATAGATGTTCTATGGGGTTAAGCTCAGGCCAGTTCCTGGCCAGTCACAAACAGGGGCACCATGGTCCTTAAACCAGGTACTGGCAGCTGTAGCACTGTGTGCAGGAGCCAAGTCCTGTTGGAAAATGAAATCTGCATCTCCATAAAGTTGGTCAGCAGCAGGAAGCATGAGGTGCTCTAGAACTTCCTGGTAGACGGCTGCGTTGACCTCGGACCTCAGAAAACCCGATGGACCAACACCAGCAGACGACATGGCGCCCCGGACCATCACTGACTGTGGAAACCTTACTCTGGACTTCAAACATGGTGGATTCTGTGCCTCCTCTCTTCCTCCAGACTCTGGGACCTTGGTTTCTAAAGGAAATGCAACATTTACTTTCATCAGAGATCATAACTTTGGACCCCTCAGCAGCAGTCCAGTCCTGTTGTCTTTAGCCCGGGAGAGATGCTTCTGACGCCGTCTCTGGTTCTAGAGCGGCTGGACACAAGGACGGCTGAAACCATGTCTTGCATACGTCTGTGTGTGGTGGTTCTTGAAGCTCTGACTCCAGCTGCAGTCCACTCTTTGTGAATCTCCCCCACGTGCCTGAATGGGTTTGTTATCTATTGCTTGTCCTTCCCTTCGCCTCTCTGTTATTGTGTTCGGACTCAGAGCTCTGTGAACAGCCAGCCGTGACCTCCTTGTGCGAGGTGTCAATGGTCGTCTTTAGGACAACAACCAGTCAGCAGTACGATTGTGTAGCCTACAGAACTAGACCGAGAGACCATTTAAAGGCTTGTGCAGGTGTTTTAAGGTAAGTAGCTGACTAGAGTGTGGCACCAGGGGTCTTCAGTATTGAACCTTTTCACAATATTCTAATATTCTGAGTCACTGAATTCAGGATTTTCATTAGTTGTTGGTTATAATCATCAAAATAAACTTGTGAAATATATCAGTCTGTGTGTGATGAATGAATCTGATGTACAAGTTTCACCTTTTGAATGGAATTACTGAAATAAATCACCTTTGATATGATGTTTTATGAGCAGCTCTTGAATTTAGAGGGATTTTATTTGTATCTTTGCCTGTTATTTCTGTCCGTTAGGCTTATAGAAGCTCTTTCTGTATCTGTCCAGAGAAGGGTTGAAGCCACTTTGAGGAGATAAAGGGAACAGAACCTACTGCGTCCAGGCTGGTTTGATGGCAGGGGAAGGAAAAGGTGAAGCCCAGTGGAAGTCGAGCACTTTTCATTCCCATGTAGTCCAGAAAGTCTGAGATGCAGTGCACAATGTGGTCAAAAAGCTGGAAAGAGACATGGTTTTAGTCGTTCGTTAGGATGAGGCTCGATATTCTTAGCTCTTTTTTGTCTCTGAACAGAAAAGCTCTCAGTGGAATGTGTTTTGTTTTAAATTCGTACAAAAATGATCCTTCAGCTGAATTGTATCTGGATAAATGATAAAACCCCAAAACAAGACTTCCTGTTAAAGGAAATAATTTTCAACACGTGTTAGAACGGGTGGAAAGACCAACGCAACCGTACTTCTTCTCCTGTGCCCTGCATGACTTCTATTGGAATGGCGTAGATTTTGTTATGCATCTCCACCGATCGCCTCTTCCCACTACGGATCTTAACCAGAAGCACACGGAAGTTTGTTCCTCCTAGATCCAGGGCGAGGAAATCTCCGTTTTCTGGGCAAAAGAGGGAAATAAAGTGTGTTAAAATGTGACCCAACAGAATTCATGAACTCTATCAATTAGCTATTAAGTCACTGTTAACCCTTTCAGTGGGCGACGGTGGCACAGGAGTTAAGTGCTCGCCCCGTAATCGGAAGGTTGCAGGTTCGAGCCCCGCTCTGTCTGTCGCTGTCATTGTGTCCTTGGGCAAGACACTTAACCCACGTTGTCTGCTGGTGGTGGTCGGAGGGACTGGTGGCACCAGTGCTCGGCAGCCTCGCCTCTGTCAGTGCGCCCCAGGGCAGCTGTGGCTACATCGTAGCTCATCCCCACCAGTGTGTGAATGTGTGTGTGAATGGGTGAATGACTGATTGTGTTGTAAAGCGCCTTGGGGGGTTCCAGGACTCTAGATGGCGCTATATCAAATACAGGCCATTTACCATAATGGTCACCACAGGGGACATCTACTCAAAATAGTTAAGTGTTGGGATTAATAAAGTCCATTCTGTTCTATTCTATTGTATTTTACTCTATTCTATTCTACACTGCTCTGTTCTGTTCTACTCTATTTTGTTCTATTCAACTCTATTATGTTCTGTTTTGTCCTACTCTGTTCTATTCTACTCTATTCCACTCTGTTCTATCATGTTCTATTCAATACTACTCTATTATGTTCTATTTCACTCTATTCTTCTCTATTCTATTTTACTATATTCCACTTTATTCTGTTCTATTCCGTTCTATTTGATTCTATTCTATTCTACTCCATTCTGTTGTATTCTACTCTACTCTGTTCTACTCTAATTTATTCTGTTCTGTTTAGTTCTGTTCTATCATATTCTGTTCTATTCTGCTCTATTATACTCTGTTATGTTCTATTCTACTCTAATCTGCTTTATTCTGTTCTATTCAATACTACGCTACTCTATTTAGTTCTATTCTACTGTATTCTATTCTACTCTACTGTTTTTTCTGTTCTATTCAATACTACTCTATTCTGGTCTATTCTATTTTATTCTACTCTACTCTGTTCTATTCTATTTTATTCTATTCTACTCTACTGTGTTTTCAGTTCTATCCAATACTACTATATTCTGTTCTATTCTATTTTATTCTACTCTACTCTACTCTGTTCTGTTCTACTTTATTCTATTCTGTGTTGTTCTGTTCTATCCTATTCTGTTCTATTCTGCTCTATTATATTCTGTTATGTTCTATTCTACTCTAATCTGCTTTATTCAGTTCTATTCAATACTACGCTACTCTATTTAGTTCTATTCTACTGTATTCTATTCTACTCTACTGTGTTTTCTGTTCTATTCAATACTACTCTATTCTGTTCTATTCTATTTTATTCTACTCTACTCTACTCTGTTCTATTCTACTTTATTCTACTCTACTCTGTTCTTTTCTACTTTATTATATTCTACTCTACTGTGTTTTCAGTTCTATTCAATACTACTATATTCTGTTCTATTCTATTTTATTCTACTCTACTCTACTCTGTTCTGTTCTACTTTATTCTATTCTGTTTTGTTCTGTTCTATCCTATTCTGTTCTATTCTGCTCTATTATATTCTGTTATGTTCTATTCTACTCTAATCTGCTTTATTCAGTTCTATTCAATACTACGCTACTCTATTTAGTTCTATTCTACTTTATTCTATTCTACTCTACTGTGTTTTCTGTTCTATTCAATACTACTCTATTCTGTTCTATTCTATTTTATTCTACTCTACTCTACTCTGTTCTATTCTACTTTATTCTACTCTACTCTGTTCTATTCTACTTTATTATATTCTACTCTACTGTGTTTTCAGTTCTATTCAATACTACTATATTCTGTTCTATTCTATTTTATTCTACTCTACTCTACTCTGTTCTGTTC